GGTGATGAACCTTCGGGTTCTGTAAGCCATCTGTTTGGTTGGGTCCACTATTTGGGAAGCCTGAAGGGAAGAGACCGCTGGGGAGACCTAGACGTAGATGGGAGGATAATCTCAGGCGGGATCTATGGGAGATAGGAGTTGAAGGAAACTGGATTTTGTTGGCCCAGGACAGGGTCCGGTGGAGGGCTTTGGTTAATTCGGTGATGAACCTTCGGGTTAGGTAAGCCATCTAGTTAGTTAGTTAGTTTAGGTATACAAAATATTTGATTCATAACGTGGCAAAAAGTGTCACTAGACTTGATTTTGTTTCCATCACCACCATAAAATGACTTATGCAGAAACGTAAAATAGTGTTTTTTATAGCAAAATAAAAAAATGTATTGGTAACTCACACTGCACATTTCTGCTGTTGTCACAGCATACCAATTGAGGAATGACCCTATCATAAGGCAAGTAAGTGGCAAAGGAGCACATATGTATGGCTCCAGATGAGAAAGTGATTTTCTCGTGTTTGATACATCTATTTTTGGATTCTGATATATTTTGATAATGGACTATCAAAATCGGCAAGTTTTCGGGATTCACGTCACGTATCTTGTCTGTCAGCCTTCCGCTACTGTAATTTATGCCTGAGGCAGTGACTCAGCATTTTTGTCAGTAGTGAATAAAATTGCCCGTTAAAAGTTAAAAACCACCTGCTGTTTGACAAGGTGACCTTGGTGGCATTCAACATGAGAAGACCCTCAAACAAGCGTCACCCGGCACCGTATCATTCAACATGGAAAGGTAAGAAGTGCTGGACCTTTTTTAAAGTGCAGTAATGAGTTATGTCGTGTTTTAATTTGCGTTTTCTGTTTAATTCCAGTGTGAAATTTATTTTGGCGTTCGCTCTCGTGATTATTGAGGTTTTGTTGTCTACTGGATACGAAAACCGGAGATTTTCACGTCAGATACCCGCAAACGAGGGTAGAGGTCGCAGTATTTCCCCTGCAGTAGACCAACTCTCACCTGGATTTTATCGTCGGAGTTATAAATCAAGTTGTCGATGTGAGAAAATTTCGAACTGTCCAGTACTTCAAATATCTATTCCTCGATGCCCCTCTGAGCAATTTCTTTGTTGCTTTCCAAAAACATTGCAATAATAAGTCGTGACCTATGGCGGTGCAGTGTTTCTGTTTAGCATTCTTCATTATCGACATTTACATAAATGTGTAGGATGTGTAATGTGTATATTATTGGTTAGGACTGGAGTGTGTGATATATTGATTAACAATGTGATTGTTTATTTTGTTTTGTTTCTGCATTAATTAAAATGGGTTAGATGTTTAGAGTTTGTATAACAAAATATTTCGAATCTTTAACATTTTAGTGATATGTTTAAGCAACGCACATATACGAAACAAATTTTGTCTGCAGAAATAATTACGGAAGAGTTTTATGTGCGTGTATCGTGCCAGTGTATCGATGTTGATGAAATAAAACTTGCCTCCATAATTTAATTCTGCGGTGTCTTTCTTTTTATAATCTCTGCCACTAGTGGTTGCACATGTTGATTTCATTCGTGATCTTTGCTGTTTTGACGTAAAAACGTCTATACGGAAGGGTCATTCGGCAAAAAAGTGAAAGGAAAAAGTGTAAGATCCATTTCAACAATGTGTAAATATGGACCGACAACAATGGTCAGCTTGCGTGCATTGTTATGTTACCAAAGAAACGTCATCTGTTTACTCGGAATTTTGTTACATTACTGCCGTCAAAAATCCCCTTTTGTTATTGCGTAAAGAGCTGAGCTGTGAATCGGTTGTAGACTAGATAATTATGTGCTGGTGAAAACGTTTTAGAATATCACAAGTACTTATCTTATATAAGAATTATTACATTACATTACATTATATTTTATTACATACATTCATTACGTTACATTACATTTCATTTCAGAGACGTATTTACGTTAGATTCTCCGGAACCGTGGTTCCACTGTCAACTTTTGTTTCGCAAGGCCATGCGTGGTCTTTGGACTGGTATGAGTCATATTTTAGTTGGTGTAGCAACGTTGTGGTTTAAATTATAAAGTCAAGGATTCAGATGAATTTGAATTCATCAGATAAAGGCAGTATCCAGTCTGCCTATCAGTTGAATGAAGAATTTGGAAAAGTATCACTTGAAAGGGATTCGGCGTTTGAATACAGTGAAGGGGATGACGTTTTGTATGTCACACAGCAAGAAATTCTTTCAGAAAATTTTTGTTACAATGTTAAGAATGTTCCACTCTTAGATTCAGGAGAAGGTTCAAGTGGTGATGCACAGCCTGCAACATGGGGATGCCTGGCATCAGATTCAGAGCTTGTAGATTGTGTTGTGGGTGAGCTTGGGCCAGATGAAGTACGTTGGTTTTATAAAAGTGATTCAGATAAACGTTGGATTGAATTTAGTGGTTATGATTCTCTTCGAATTGAATCAAAATATCGGAATGTATATCACGATTGGCAATATTATAATAAATATAGCAACAAAGAAAATTCATCAGAAACATGTTTTGATGAGACATCACCCATTGGTCAAAGTGCCTTACCTTTGGATATTAGTAACAGTGCTAGTTACAGTTCTGAATGTAATGGGACTGGTGCTACACAGACATTAGACTCTGAGCAGTATAGAATTGTGGTGCGTGGAGGAATGTATGAAGTGGATTTAAACACCTGTAAATGTGATTCTATCTACTGGCCAGGTAGAGGTATATATTTGCTTGCATGTTTGAGCTTAATTGCATATTTATATTATTTATAACAGTTTCTGAATTATATTTCAGTTTCTGCTTTTACTTCACAGGAGAAGAGTGTGCAATTACCCGTGGTATATGGTTTTATGACGGTTCATGGATACCAGTTGATACTGAATGTAGTAATATTCTGGAGAATGTTCATCTAGAACTATTCTTTGGTAAAAAGTTGTCTGATTACATTACTGAACCATGTAACAAGACTCCTAAGGCAGGTAAGAAGAACATTTTTTTCCCCTTCTGAATATTTCAAGTGCTGGTAAAATGTTTGGTCTGGAACTAAATGCAGGGAAAACTAAGTATAAGTTCATATGTCATCAGTGGAATAGAGAACAGAGTCAGTAGGGAGTTCTACAACTAATGACATGACAGTTTTATTATTTTTTTTAGTTTAAGTTAAAATATGGGCCATTAGAAGAAACATTTATTTTGTCAACTGTTAGAATTTATTTGAACACTATTGCTGAAGTTATATGTAAATTAGTAATTGGTAATAGACATGACATTTTGACAAGCTAGTTTTTGTCATACTTGCTGAAGGAACAATTTAGCATATCTGCTTATAATTGTCAAGTACAAAACTATGGACAGAGACAAGAAAATATCAACATGGTATATGCATTTAATATTTAATTAACATGGATAGTTAAAAACATATTTAAAAGCAACAATGATATTTTATGACAACTGAATGACAGTCTTATTTCAGTAGAGTTTCATTACACAATAAAATTACTCTTCCTTTATGAAGTAGTATAGAAGTAGTACTTGTTCCTTATATCAGTAGTAGATAATGTGCCATAAAGCAGTTTTGGTATCAGGTGTGTAGTTAGATGCGTCCTTCCCTAACACATGGTAAATTTGGCAGTGTGCTCAGAGCACATTCATGCACCTTGGAAAATATGAATAATGTTCAGTTGATGGGTAGATTCCATAGCTTTTATAAAATTCTGCATTGTTAAATGTATTAATCTCTGCCATGTCCTAGGAAGTATTACATCATATTATTTAAAGGTGTTATTTTCATAAGTTATAAAACTGAATGTAAATGGATTAGGGAATTGTTCCAGAAATCTGTGATTACAAGTTCTGAAATGTTTGTGTGTTTGCAGTTCTGCACACCGAGTCATTTACAGAGTTCCATGTTGATTGGTATTCACCGACTGAAGTTTATCAGTACAGTGAAGCAGCACCATCCAAACTTGTCCGTACCTTCACCCAGAGGCTTGGCTTTCAAAAATGTAAGTGTTATATACTGTAGGTTTTAAAGTTCATTCAGTGATATTCAGGAATCTCACAAGAAAAAGCCATTTGGGAGATTTAGGCATAGATCACAGAATAGTATTTGAAAAGCAGTTAGGAAATGGGTACTGAATATGTAAAGTAAGAATGTATTATATATAGCATGAGAGTACTAGTGCAATCATTCCAAAATCACATGAAAACCTGAACCCTACATATTTCTTAACAAAACATCTTGAAAAGGGTAACAAACATTGAAAATATTATTACCCCAAATAGTGGGGAAACCACTGTATGATCACCAAGCTTTTAGAGTATCTGTCAGGAAAGATTTATTTTATAATAAATAATAAATATCTTTTTACCTGGAGTGTGAGACACTCTTGTCCTTCTCTAAAATGCTGCCAAATTCTGTGCCCATCTTGTGGCCTGATGGTAAAGCACACTATTTTCCACGGTTCTCTCTGTTAAATCCTGTGTTGTTGTCTGGAAAGTACATTGTGTTTAAAATTTAATTTTGTTTTTGTGCGACATTTTCTAGCTACTGGTTACCGTTTGTGCCGAGGATATAAAGTTCATGCTACTGATTATGACCGCCCAGTGGATATCACACACCTTGTGTTTGTGATTCATGGCATCGGTCAGAAAATGGATACTGGACGCATAATTCGCAACACATCTGCGTATGTACACCATATTTTTTTTACTCTTGGTGGTACTGAGATGAATCATGTTGTTAGGAAAGAAAATATAAATTGATAACATCAGTTAGTGTAATTCTCTGTATCTGAAATCTACGCCATTTTGGACTGCTGTATTCATTTGCCCTCTGATGGTAGAAGTGGAAGACTGTTTGAAGAATACAGAAGTCTGTATCTGCGTACTGTATAGCATTCACAGTAACTGTCTTATAAAAGTTGCAAGTTAAAAACAGAGAGTAAGTGATTTATCTAAAATGCAAAAGGAATAGGGTATTCTGAGTGTAAGGATGAACCACCACTCAAATAGTGCACTCTATATTTGTTCTAACCGTTGATATTTGTAGAAATTTCCATTTTTCGGTGGCTCTGCTACTTCCAGAGCTAGAAACAAATAACTTTTATGATTTGTAATATTCATTGTGAAATATATTTAACAGAACATTCCAATCCTTCATTCCTCTCTAAACACTTTTGTAATATTTTTTTTTGTCCTTTACTGCCAGTAGGTGTATTGGAAACTGTAATAAATTTTTTTTTTTTGTCCTATACTGCTAGTAGGTGTATTGGAAACTGTAATAAATGTGTAACCAAAATATTTATCACAAATAGCAGCAAAGGCACTGGATTTTTTCAATACAGTGATGAATGTTTACAAATTTTATGTTGGAGGTGTTTAAAACTGTTGCCCTCGGTGGACTAGTGGTTAGCGTGCTCGCCACCGGACCCAAGGTCGCAGGTTCAAACCTGGCCGAGATCGATGGATTTTTAAGGGTGATTGAAGTCCGTAGCACAACTTCCTTCAGAGGGGAAATAAAGCCGGCGGCCCATGTCGTAGATTTATGGCACATAAAAGAACCTTACGAGCGTGAACGAAGATGTTTCGTAAGCAAAATGCAGCGGCCGTTTCTCACCCAAGTCTCTTCTGATCCTCTGCTAGATGGCTTTAGCAGACAAATCAGGACTGAGTAGAAATTGTGCAGAGGCAGTGGGCTTGTCACTCACTACTCATAAATGCACATTTCAAAGACAAAGAAATCTCCCACATGGGAGGAGGCCAAGGCTCGACTTCAGGTTGTTGCGCCATAGAGAAGAAGAAGAAGGTGTTTAAAACTAAAGCATTTAATACTAAGCAGCGATACAAACCATGTTCTGATAATAAGGATCATGTTCTTCCAGGTTTCGTGATTGTGTGACGTGGTTAAAGCAGAAGTATTTTGCATCCTCAGAGAATCGTGTAGAGTTTTTTCCAGTTGAATGGAGGTCATCACTGAAACTTGATGGAGGTAACTTGCATACTTTCTTATTTAATCATGGTGTTATTCTCAGAATGTTATTGATAGGGGAAGTAAATTTTACTTCCTATCAGGTTGATACCACGGTCACATTCTGTGGCGATAAAGTGGCTTGAGTTTGAAGCTGGCCACTTGCCATCTGGTGCTAAAGATAAAAATATGTGGACCTTTATATTAACTCATTATGTCTTCATGCCGTTTATGCTTAAGTGTGGGATAACTTTGCCTTTGTCATTTTAAAAATGAAATTAAAATATAGCACAACCTCGTACTTTAAGTAACTTATTTAGGTTCTTATCTGTTGTACAAGAGAGAAAAATATATGGTTACAAAGAGACATAACTCATAAAACCTAATTTGCTACTGTGCAGTCCATTCTTACGAATAATTTGTTATTAATGTTAGTTTATAATCCAACAATAAAATTAAATTTGCTGGGCTTGTTAAAGGATTGAATTCTGTTTGTCAGAATGTTTGCGTTGCTTCAAAGTATGAGGCCAAAGTTCAAGCCTTCTCCAATGAATAGCCTGTAGTGGAAAACATCTTCCTGGAACTCGGTTAAACTTTGAGAGTTTTTCTTGAAGATGACACTCATACAATGTGTCTATGTCTTTTCATTAAGATTTTATTCACAAATAAAGTTGGAAAGATAATTTTTATATAACCTGTATATTAAATGATCAACTTTAAGGCTTTCTGAGTCTGCATTTAACGGTTTGCACACAGAAATTTTCGGATACTGTTACAGATACTGTGGAAGCTATCACACCCCACAAGCTACTGGGACTGAGACAGCTTTTGAACTCCAGTGCTATGGACATCATGTATTACACCAGCCCACTATATGGCTGCGAGGTAAGGCATGGGAGCAACCTTTATACGTGCTTGTGTATTAACATGTTCTCTACCAATGTAGGCAGTGATTGAATATGGTTTCCTAGCGAGTCTCGCAGATTTAATTAAATTTGTGTTCTGATGAGTAAAACTGTATCACCATCTCTGAATCTGTAGACAGTATGTAGTGTAGCAGTGTCTTTAATCCAGGCTGTGACAACATGCATATCAAGATACATTTATTGATGCTATAAGCTGCAACTCATCTGCTGGACGGCATCGTCGTAACGTGATGTTTGTCCAGTGCTTCACATTTTTAATGGTTGTAAAAACTTAAAAACTTTTATAAAACAAACCTGCAGGTTCTGTTACATTGACTGCTATATTACGTGATGCAAAATTACCTATCTTGTTAGCATACAGCAAGTTAAGAAAAGAATGATACTTCTAATTCTCCTTTTCCTACATGTGGTAATGGAAATTCAGTCCATTGTGTTACATCTTTTGGTTGCGGAGAATAATGAACGTCAATTTTGTCACACACAGTGAATAAATGCGAAGAGCGAATCAGATGAAAAGTCAAAAACAGAGACAATTTATCTAGCGTGATCGGTCTTAAGTGCGATTGAAGGACGGCTCCAGAGCGATAAAAGTATTTTATATTAGTTTAAATTTTTAGTCAGCAATCCATGTTGCAGCTTGCATGAAACAACTCAATTAGTAGACAAATTGCTTTGTTAATTGAATAAAAATTTTCTTGGATATTATCCATCGTCTAGTAAATATAAAACGTAAAACGACGTTTCGGAGATGGGACTCTATCTCCGTCTTCAGGTTCCTACACAGTTGGGCCCACTAGATAGAGCTAATCCCTATCTCCAGAGATCGGGATCCCATCTCCGAAACGTCGTTTTACGTTTTATATTTACTAGACGATGGATAATATCCAAGGAAATTTTTATTCGACGGAGATAGGGATTAGCTCTATCTAGTGGGCCCAACTGTGTAGGAACCTGAAGACGGAGATAGAGTCCCATCTCCGAAACGTCGTTTTACGTTTTATATTTACTAGACGATGGATAATATCCAAGAAGATTTTTATTCAATTGACTCTTCACCATCGTCAAGAAGTTTTAGATCTGAAATTGCTTTGTTGCTCTCTATATTTTTACATGTTTGGTCAACGAAGAAGTGCATACACATTTTGATTATCTGTAAACAAATTGTTATGTTACTCTGTCTTTCCAATAAGGCTGATCACTTTACAGATGTGTAAATATTTGGATTCACTTCCCTTTGCATTGCTTAGTCATATCAGAATTCAAATGGAATATGGATACTCTTTGATAATTTAATTAAATGATAGTATCTGTTAAGTAAATGGATACCTTTAATTATGTGGTGTTTACCAGTTATAGTAGTAAGTTACCAGTGGGACTCAGCTGACCTAGAATCCAGCCTGGAAATTGTGAATACATGAAATCTACATTTACTGAAAATGTGCTGTTTGTGCATAAGTGTTGCACTTTTATGCTTCAGGTTCAGCGTGGGCTTTTGGAGGAACTGAACAGATTGTACACCATGTTCACACAGCGAAACCCATATTTCACATCCAGTGGTGGCAAAGTATCTGTGATTGCACATTCTCTGGGATGTGTTATTGTGTATGATATTGTGACGGGATGGAGATCTGACTTGTGGCAGGTAAATAAATGTAACTGTATCTGTGCTACAAGTTTATGCTGTTTCAAGTGCATATAATCACATAGGATAAATAAAATAATGTGTGGATTGAGGGAATTGCATAATGGGAAGCTTTGTAATTTGTGCTGTTTGCCTTTCAAATAAGGGATTTTGTTAGAAACTGTATTAAAATAACTTACATACTAAATGCTCATTATCTAGTGTTAAAATACAGGTTATTAAAAAATAAATTTTATTTACAACAGTTTTTATGTTACAAGCTTCAAGTAAAAGACCGTACTATTAAGAATTAATCCATTTACCATACAACATCCAGCCTTTATATAAACAGCATAATTAATGTACAGTTTGCTGTTCTCATGGCAGTGAGTATGAAGGTGACTCTGAACACTCATGAAGGCATTTCATGAGATTGTGAACTGCATAGTTTCAGCATATATCAGAACAGAGATCCAGTTCATTCTGTCATTTTTCCTTTGATAAGTTTGGTTTCAAAGAGGAGACTTTAAAGATGACGTAGCATAAGAATTGATTTTTTTGACTGACTCTAATGCCCACACATCTGAAGATGGCATTTCTCCTTGAAGTAAAAGTGGAATTGAAGAGGATGACAGAGACAGAGTCAGTGGACTGACATCGTACCATCTCAACCTTCTGCACAGGTAGTACACAGGTTTACAAGGGGTCAATATTTGAAACTAAACAAGGTGCCAAGTGAGAGGAATCTACGCCACTGATTGTTTTTGTGTTTTCGTTTCTTGAAATTATGCAGCTGGTTGTGGAAATGACAAACATATGTTGCCACCAATACTTGAACACGTGATGAAGTACATCCCCACTGCCTTTGTGCAGTAAATTTGCTTCTTTGTATCTGTAATTGTACAGGTGTGTAGTCTGGTAGACCAGAGGACAACCGTCTTCACTCTGCTTTGAGAACTTCAAATCGTACATATTGTGCCTTGTTACATATTTTTGTTTTCCATTCAGTTTCTTATACATTTGTAATTTTATAAATAATGCATTATGTTTTCTACCAAGGTTGGCACTCTTCCTCATCCTCATTGTAGTGCTGATGATTCATCATTACCAGAAACACCAAGACAAGAATTTTTGTCACCTGAGAATCCACGTCTTCGATTTGAAGTAAGTAATAGATGAAGCAGAAAATATGGTGATACAGTACATCAGGTTTTCATTCGATCATCACTATGCTGTAGATTTTTAAAATTCCTGAGCATTCACTTGCCTGGGCAAGTAATAATTTCATGCTTGTTGTTTTACATTCTACATAAATTTACATTAACAGATGTTACATATTTTTCAATGACCTGTTGCTACGTTCCATTTCAGGACCCAGTATTGTGTATAATTAGTGTCATTTCTGTTTCACTAGTTAAACCATCAGTGATGTTATTATTATTTGTAGGAAATTATAAAGGATATGTGTTTGAATTGGCATCCAGTGGCATAATGGTAACAGAAATTTTGTCAGTAGATCAGCAGGCAACCCATCAGTGCTTGTAATATTATATAAAGCTGTTGTGGCAACACTTTATGATCTACCTCTAAAACTTTTGGCTGATTGTTACACATACATTAACCCATCGGTGCTTGTAATATTATATAAAGCTGTTGAATTATTTAATTTTTGTGTGTTTCAGATTGACAATTTGTTTTGTCTGGGTTCACCATTGTCAGTGTTTTTGGCATTACGGATGCGGGATCCACAGGCTCCTGGTCAAGTCGAGACTATTCTGCCTCCGTCCCTCTGCAAGAAATTTTACAATGTTTTTCACCCCACCGATCCTGTTGCATATAGGTGTGAATACTTTTATATTAAACCAACTTCCATTTTAAGTTTTAGAATGACAGAATTGACACTGAAAGTTTCAGCATTTATTAAATTAATTCTTTTATTCACTGTATCTGTTATTTTATGTAGACATTGGCAAACAGCTTATTGTATGGGTCTCAGGGAAGATAATATGTAGGAATATGAAATAGGTTGAGCTGATGGATTTGGTCCAATAGCATGTATTTGTGTTTGTACCATTGAACCTTCAAGTTATAATACCGGACCAGCAGGCAGCGCTTGTTCGCTGTGGGAGTTCTTAAGAATTGTGAGTTGTTTAAATATATTTTCTTTATTACAGGATGGAACCCCTTCTGTTGCGAGATTATAGCAAAATTGCTCCACTACAGATACAGGCTTATAATGCCACAGTTCGTATAGACTATAAAGATATGCCTCTTGAACCAATAGTTCCTGAAATAACCAGCAGCAATGATTGTAGTTCATCTGTATCGAAACATCGGGAAGGTCTGGAAGAAATGGAAGCTGACTCTCCTAGCAACACTCCCAGCAAAGGTATAACAATTTTAATGAAGTTCTATGAAAAACTTTCACATAAGCTTGTTACAAACAAATGCCTGCATTCTTCACAATCCCCAGAAAGATTTTTAGACTTTAGACTTTCAGGCTGTCAGACATGATTTTATCCTCATAAACAGTTTTATTTCAATTATGGTTTCATAATAATGTAATCTAAAAAGATTCTTGAAGAGTGGAGTATTTGTACATTAAGAAGTGTCTTATAGTTTATGGAATAAGGTAGAACACCAGTAATGTGCCTGAACTGCATCTCATCTGGTTCAAATCGTGGCTAGGGATTTTGGTATTGAGATTGAGATTTTGTGGTAGTCCTGAGTCCTTCCAGATGAATGCAAGGATAGGCATTGATTACTTCTACCCACATTGTTCCCATTTCATGAATCATAATTGTCCTGTCAGTCAGCACTACATAATCTGGTGGTGGTCTTTCATGATTTGAGTTTTCACAAGCAAATGTATGACTGATTATAAAAGTTTTGGAAAGAAGTCACCAGTAAAAGAACTTTCATTACAGCACAGGGAAACATGCCGAACATTACAAAGAATATGGATGTGAGTAAAACACACATGTGTGTTGCTGGAATAAAATATATTTTCTTTCCAAACCGAGGCATGCAGTATTAAAACAAAATGAAATTGACAGAGTGCCTACTGTGTTACTGCGGGGAAATCTGACAAATGGTTACATTGTTTATCAATCTTTATTGCCCAAAAGCTTCTCATAGGATTGATGATTTTATATGTATCATTCAATATCATAGAAGGAATTTCAACCTGACGTCTTCATCGAGACTTGAACCCACAACAGTTTTCAGATTTGTAGCATTAGTTCTTGCAATCTCTTTTTTGAAACAATTCTTTTCTTTACATCATTCTCTCATTCTCAGTTTCGCAAGGTGCTGAATCTATCTTTATCAGGGCTCGAACCCAGAACACTTTATGAGTATGTGACCCCCAGTTCCTGTTATATCCTTTATGAAATGAACAAATTTTGCCCAGACACCATTCTTCAGTCATGCTTAAGTTTCTGAGCTACAGAAACCATACTCATGAATACTTGAACCCAGGACAGTTTTCAGTGTTGTGGCTTTTGTTCCTTTAATCTCCTCACCAAATCAAACAGATTTGGTTTTAGCACCATTCTTCTATTATGTGTAGTTTCTGAGTTATAGGAGCCACCTTAACGAGAGTCAAGCTCAGGGCATTTTTTCAGGAGTTTTGACCCCCCTGCATTCTCTTCCTAGTCTCAAGGAATAAGCATGCCACATTTGGTGCAAATGGGTTTATCTGTTCTCACACTGTAAGTGAACAAACAAACTCAGCTTCCTATCCAATGGGTACTGGGGTACTTTCCCGGGGGTAAAGCGCGGCCGCGGCGTGATGCTGACCGTTCACCCCCATTTAGTGCCGAGGTCAAGAAAGAGTAGGAGCTATACCTCTTCCCCTAAACGACCTACATGGCATGTAGTGGTATGTCTTTACTTTATTTTTGATAGCTCTTGCAGTTAGTGTGCTAGTCAACAGGAACTGCAGACTGTAGTCCTACTAGATTGACATTTCTTCCTCAAAATAATGTTACCAAACATAACCACTTGGTTCATCATAACTTTGCTTTTGTCATTTGAATGTGACAATGCTTTGAAACATAATTTGACATTAAATTTAATTTATAGAAATTGTAGAATTTTATGTATTTGGTTGTGTTTCAAATCAAGCTTGGAACATTTGGGGCTTGATGCGCTGGAACAAGAAACCGCAGGATGAAGCAGAAGGAAGAGGATCACCTCAGTTTGATGCGCTACCTGCAGGTAATCTTCAGCCACTGTCATATTTCATGTGGAGAGTATGGGGTGTATTATAGAACTTGTGCCAAATAAATCTGCCACGATGCAGAACGTGAAGATTGAACAGACGCCACTACTCCCACTCTTCCACCAAAACTGTTGCTGTATTGTCATTCTGGATTGACATGCCTCATACCCCTAACTTTATCTCGTGCAGGTCACAGACTATTGATCAGGATCAGGCTATATCAGAGAGAAAAAGATTGCTGCACCTTTTGAGGGGTTTGCATCATAAATAGGGTAACATAAAGGACTGTTTCCTCAGGAAAGGCCTCTGTCACTGAATAGAATTCACATGCATATGTTGGCTGCTTCACCTCATGAGGAAAGAACTCTGGAACTCACCGCATAGGAGGCTGGGTGGGTCCAAGAGCTAGGCTAGGTGTGGTAGTGAACAGAAAATTCCAACTATTCCCAGGTGTTGAATCTTGGTCTTCAAACCTTAGTCACACATTTACAAATGTAGTTGAAATACAGGGTATACACAAAAGAATGGTGCGGTTTCAAAAGTTAATAAAAATTTTATTTCTCACCTTACACGGGCGCAACATACACCGTCAGCGGTGGCAACTGTCCAAGTTTCTCATGCGTTAATTACAATCCTTCAATGTGTGCACCCTAGGTCACACGACACATCCACACGGTAATCAAACTCATCCCATCCAGCGCTGTGGAAAAACACGATTAAGAAGCACTTGTACATTCCTGTGAAAATGGGGGGGGGGAACTCTGTCCAGTTGTAGAATGTAATCGTCATAATTGGTATTCAGTTGGGGTAACAACCAGCTTTCCAACATGTCCAAAAATGAGTCGCCAGTCACAGTTGCACCATTCTTTTGTGTATGCACTGTATATGTAGGTAGGGCTAGTATTCAGATTTCTTAGTATGTGAAGGTTTTGGTGCCCTTGTTACCTTCCTGTCTGTCTGTGTCTCTCTCTCTCTCTCCCTCTTTATTAAATCAGTGAGTTAAGCTTAACACTTTATTGATATGTACCATACAATAAACATTGGGAAGACCAAAATGTTGGTATTTGAGTACTCTTGTATGTAACTAACCTAATGCCCATTGATAATTCTATGTAAAATCTCCTAATTTATTATATAAACTATATTGTTATTTTGTTCAGATGTAGTAATTTAGTTATAACATTGAGGTTTAATGCCAACACCAAGGTGAGACCGTAATAATGCATGTGTACATATGATGGACATACACAGGTTTATACAAGAAGAGACTAAGACAAACATCTATTGTCTACTGATTAAAAAAAAAGCAGACAGTGGTAGGTGAAGGTATGTGTGTTATATTGTGCTGAGATCTACTACTTTTCTTGATTTTTTTATATCACGCCTAATTTATTTGCCTGTGACACTGATTTGGCCTTACTGAAGTACTTTTTAGTCCTGTAATCACTTAAATATAGTAGCCAGATTACTGTGCCATCTAAAGGAGGAAACAAGGAATTAACTCCTTCCCTGGTTAATTTTTTTTATGAAAATGTGGTCGAGAAATGTATTTTTATGTCACATTTGGAATATACCCACAAAAATATTGATATGTGTTTTGTTGCAAAATATTTAATCATACTGCACAAAATGTTATACATTTATAATGATTATGAAGGTGATTCAGAAGGTGTCCACACTTTCGTTCCTGTCTGCGGAAGGTACAAAATAACCTGATGACAGTTGGTAGCATGGAACAAGGCAGAACCATGATTCTCAGAGACAGAAGTATAACAATAAGGGGCATTGCATCAACAGTAGACATCAGTGAAGGTTCAGCTCATTCAGTGGCGCCTGACATTCTTGGATTTCACAAAGTTTGTGTTCTGAAGGAATTGACAAAAGAGCACAAGCACAATTGTGTGGGCATCAGCTCTCATCTGAATAAGTGGTACCACAATGAAGGTGACAGTTTTTGAATTACATCATCACTGATGATGAGACTTGGATATGCCATTGTGAACCACAAAGCATATGTCAGAGTATGCAGTGGAAGCACCCATCATCTACTGCTGCCATCAGCCAGAAATTTAATGCTGACAGTGATCTTTGACTCTCAAGGTCCTAGCCTTGAACATTACTAGGGATATGGAACCTTAGTAACAAGTGCAAGGTATTCCAGCATGTAACAAAATGAACTGAGGCCGGCCATTTGCACAGAATGTTGAGGAAGGTTATTGTAAGGTATTCTCTTCTTCTACAACAACAATGCTTGATCTACTGCTGCCCAATCTAAGAAAACCATTCGGGGGCTGAAATTTGAAGTTCTAGACCATCCAGCATACAGTCTGGACCTTACACCTTCAGATTTCCATGAAGGAGGCTCTCAGAGGTTGTTGATTTGCAGATAAAAACAAGGTGAAGGAAGCGGTGTGTTACTGTCTTTGTCCAAACTTTCTTTTGTGATGGAATGAGAAAGCTTGTGGACCACTGGACAAAGCACATCGAGAAACAGGGAGACTGTTTAGAAAAGTGATACACCTATGACTTTCCATATGAAATAAGTTGTGAAAACACAAAATAAGTGCAGATACTTTTTGAATCACTCTCATATTATTCCAGATTATCTTAGGATCACTTTCCATTGTGCATAAATATTAATTTCTTTGCAGCAGTAGCACACAAATGTTACTGGCAGCCAGTGCTCGAACTTATGATATATGCTACAGAATCATAAAAGTCTTTCTATTTTCATGCTGTATAATATAAAAATATATAAACACATTTGGCTCATTGGCAATTTATATTATCTCATTTTATCTGTATATGCTCTGTAATTTGAAATTTTTGACATTGGAATTATGGGAAGGAAAGCTCATGAAGTACAACTTTTTGAGGTGTGTTTGTTTTTCAGGTCACCATCAGCGTCTAGACTATGTATTGAGAGAAACAAACCTTGCTGGCAGTTATTTTTCAGCACTTACGTCGCATACTGCTTACTGGAACAATTATGATGTGGCATATTTTGTTTTGACAAGACTTTTCCCTGATTTGGAGGCTCAGCAGCTGCTGCAGCAGCCTTCAGCAAGCATCTCACAACAGTCACCAGCTTCTACGGAAGCTTCCTCAGCCAACAAGTAACTCATCGGATGCTTGGAAATTAACTGAATTGTGTTGTAAGATATGCCATATATTTCCGTATCCACATAAAATTGGTTCCAAAGAGTTTTTTTTTCTTTCTCTGAAAATTATGACAGGTTGAATGTTGTCATAAGAAATCCTTATTAAATGAAACAGGGTCTTCACTCTTGTATTGTGTTTGCTGCTTTATAAATAACTGGATCTTCAAATGAAAGCACTGTCTTTATATTGCTATAACTTGCAATGTAATTCAGTTGATTCCAAAGGTTACAGGGTGTGATCATAAAGTATTATAATAACTCCAAAGTTTTAATTGTAATTGATATCCTATTCCCATATATTTATTTTTGAGGATCATCTCTGCACTAAAATCTTCTAACATGACCAGCTGTGTCAATTCAGAACAGGATTCAAACGTTTTGGAGGCCCTGTTTGTTTTCATCATTCCCTGACAGTGGAGTGGGGGGGGGGGAAGTGAGAGAGAATCTGTAACATTGGACACCTGTTCTGAAATGACATAGCTGGTTGCCTGAGAAGATTTTATTGTTTAGTTGCTGCAAAGCCTTAAGTCATATATGATTATCTCTGTCATCACACTCATTTGAAAGAATCAGCTGCTGAAGTTTTTCTTTATACTTCAATTTCCAAAATTTTGTGGTTGTGGCATAAAGCAGACCATCCTCTTCCTGTGGGATTTTATATGCTTATTTGTACACACGAAAGGCGTAGTGTTTTGGAAACTTCATGATTGCATTGTAATTACTTTTATGAGTTTTTAGGTGATGAGAATGAGATAAATTTTTTAAGCTTGTGGTTTGCTAGTTGGATTACATCAGCTTTTCATTATTCTTTTAGTGGATAAGTGCCTATATGAAACAAAATTGCAATTGTAAGATGGAAATATTAAGGGTCAAGTACAAAAGGAAATTGTAGTGTAATTCTGTGATTCCGGCATGAGTTTAAGACTTCATTTTAATGAGTTTGGCTGTAAATCTTTCATGCAGGAAGGTCAGATGCTTTTGTCAAATTGGGCTTGTGGAGATTTGGACAGCTAGCAGAGCTGGAAAACCTACAGTGTAAACATACTACAAGTAAAAGTTATACATATTACTGCAGATGCTGAAAATGCTGTCTTTTATGCAGCACACACTCCTGGCAACTCCCTGTAATTTTGCATTCAGATGTTGAAATCTCAGAAAACAGATAAAAGTTCTCTTTGAATCTTTTCGTTAACTTCTTGAATTGTGTTCGGATTGGTCTCTAAACTTTTTGTCCTTATATTCCCCCATAAATAAAAGTTACACAGGTTGAGGTTGGGAAAGCATACCAGCCACAAACTGCTACTATTAACTGTCTCAAAAATTTCCCTCAGATTGTCCTTGAATGAACTTTTAATGTTTTCCAAATTGACCCAGTTATGCATTTCCTGCAGGAAATGCATAGTGAGAACACATTATGGGCTCATTGTGTCTGTCTTTCCGTCCGTATAGTCGATTCAACTCGAGAAGCACTGGATAGATCTGAATGAAATTTGATGTGGTGGTTGTGCTATTCTGCTCGATTTCAAAATTGTACTTTTGAATATCCTACGAGCAGTGATAACAGAATGATTAATATGAAGCTTTGTGGAAGTTGGGTTGACAATTTTGAAATGTCTCCTGTGCTTTGTGGTGGGGGGATTTACAATTAGAGTGTTCAAGGCTAGCACCAGTTTTATCCAGTTTGTGTTCAGTGATCACTTGATGACATTTTGATTTTGTGTTTTAATCTTGTAATAACACTGAATCTGTAACCTCATGAAACTTACACTGGAGTCTTCTTACATTTCTTAAAGAACCACTTTTCACATAGATGTTGTGGTGAACACTTGTGCCAATTTATATCTTCCACTTAGCATTTTGACACAGGAAATAATGATGGAATGAATTTTATTAATGCAGGTTCATGCCTGGTACAGTAAGGGAAGTTCATGATACTCAAGGGGTACAAGTGAGCTGTTTGATAATGCATAAGCTTACTTCATTGTTGCACTGTCCAAAATCTCACTACATTTTATTACAAACTTTCAGGAACCTTCTATGTTTTTAGTCCATTCAACACCAGGTCCTTTCTTTCTCAGTAAATTTTAACACAGAAATGTTTCTTTTTTTGAGGTGCCTGCTAAATGTGTTCTGGTATAACATAGGGTGCACTATAAAATGTTACATGTATTGGTATATGAAATAGAGGGTTAAATATTCATAGTGTAATGAAATTTAAACTGTCTCCGTGTTCTTAACACGCATGCATGCATGCATCAGTTATCTTGTGATGATCCTAAGGCAGATTCTGAAATAACAGTTTGCTTGCTTTACAATTACTCCTCTTCCATTATGTATACATTTATTATGGAATTATAAGATATTTACATTATCATTTTGACTTACAAATAACAGAACTTGGAATTAGTTGTACTTTATAGTGTGTAAAACTCTCTTTGAAGATGGATAATGTTTAGAAACCATACTCAGTACAATTCTCTTGAAACCACTTTTTACTCTCTTTTTCTGCTATGACAGAAAAGTAGTCACTGGCATTGACCATAATTTTGATGGAGCCCTCTTCTAGGGGTTTTAAAACCTGTTTACAAACAAGTCATTAAAACTATGAGCAATTATCTATGATAATTGGACCTCACATTGGTGGAGGTGAATGACTGATCCTTTTGCTGTCAGGAATGTAGTCTATTTTTGCTTGTGCATGGCACACAATAAGTCTACTGCCTTGGCCTGGATGTTTAAGAATGGTAAGATTTAGGGTGAGAGGATATATGCCAAATGAACTTGTATTAACTTTAAAATTCACTTACGCATGATCACAGACATCTTAAATACCCATAATATGCATAGTGAACCTTGGGCCAGGCCCATTATCAACCCGTGTGGTCAAAATCACTGCTCAACATAACAGTTCTATACAACATTGGAGGGCTTTCCTTTTCTGATGGGTCCTACCAAATGCATTATTTAAAATGGTTTTGGTTATCCATGTTTAGGTTAGTGTTTAGTGCACAGACCACATTTCCTGAATCCTAAGGCTGTGAAATGTAAGGAATTTGATTTGAGCAGCCAAAATGTCTCATCTTTCCATGAGGAATTTGCATTGATCATTGTTTCCTGTTTCAACCCTTCTCTTAACAAAAGTTTTAACTTTGATAATACAGAACTCCCATAATTAACTTTGTTCCTCAGTTCATGAGCAAGTTTCTTTGCATTAGGATATACTCTGCCATGAAATCTGAAAATAGTTGTACAGAGAATATAATTACCAAAGTTTGTTACCTGTTTCTGTGTATTATTCTCCTTTCTTAGAGACTTGGATATTGGAAAACTATTTTGTCACTCTGATATCTTAGTCTCAGTACAAGTCCATGATACTGTGCATAAAATGTCTGTACAAGCCTGAACAGTCAGTTCCTCTATCTTTGGGAATGTTATTTTGACATGCTCCTCATTCAAATACAATTTCTTCAAAAATGTTTATGCCAAAAATGATGTTTCTATTTTGTCAGCACAATACTTCACTGTTTACTCCTCCTGCACAGATGTCATAAAAATACAAGGCTTGCACTGACATCATCCCAGTATCCAGTTCTGTTTGTTGGTGTTAGTAGGTTTTAGTAGGAATTGCACTCAGCCACAGCTATACTTGGCAACACTGGAGGGTTGCATGATACAGTGATTCTCTATGTCCGTATAAAAGTTGTGCCTCAAAAACCTTTAAGCATTCTGCATATTCTTAATATCACAATACTGCAGACAGTGGTGGGATGTATAGAGTCTATTTTCTTACAATAATAAACACATTAATTACATGCAAATGGTCAAGTATTTTGGACCTGTCTTCACATTTCATAGTAAGCTGAATATTTGTCTTTGAGAGTCTTAACAGTACTTTGTGTCTTGTATTATACACAAGTTGTTGTGTGCCTCAAAATATCCTACAACCTCCCAAAGGATCACAAACCTCCAGTTGAGAAACATTTGGTCTTGCTGAGTAATTTACACTTCAACATAATTGTAATCCAAATATTGGTGTTGAAGTAAGGTGACCACACAAATAGTTCTACTTCATTAATATTAAAGTGTACTTTCGGAATGAGTTGAATCTTATTAGGAATTGTAACAGAGTATTTTTAATAACTAAAATATTTGCTTCTAACCCAAGTACACATTGGAAACAGTCATAATCATCTTTCTTCCTTTCTGAATAGAGCAATTTTTTTAGGGTGGTACCACTGGAATTGGTAATAATTCTTCAAAGGATGCAGCATTTGATAAGGGTGTATGGAGATCAGCAATGTTATCTGCAAGACATTTATTCATTGTTGGCACAAGTTCATACTCGGACATCATCTGCCAGTATATCAGGGTTGTATGGGTCGATTCCTCATTTTTTAAATCCACTAGTAAACTTTGCCAACTGTTGTAGACTTATCCCATTCCAGCTTCAACAGGTCGCAAATGTCTTCCTTGGTAATTCCCTTCCCTGGATGCCATCAGAGCCTGGCATTGTGGGTTCTATGGGACAGGGTTGTAGGCACAATATTATTCCAATGCCTAATTTTTATTCTTTCTCAAGCACATGCAGATCTTTGGAATGGGATGGATATCTAATATTAGTAGAAATAATCCTTGTGGTTTGTACCTACTGATGTGATCAAGGAACACTGAGAGCTCGGGCGTCGTATGCCGAGAATTTGACGTTTACACAGAGGACACATTCGGTGTCTGGCCTGAAGATAGTTGCAGTCCTGTTTTGTCTGTAATGGAAACTCTATCAGGCTCTTCCCTCAACTAGAGTTCATCACACTTTGGCTTCTGAAGAATTTTCCAACTTCTTATTTAGGTCTTTTGAGCAATCATATGACAGACCCTGAGCCTGCTGTATGGTTAAGTTTTGGTTCATGCATAAAAAAGTAGTCATACCCTGTAATTTTTTTGTCTGAATTAATTTTATGTTTTAGTACATTCTTTTCTGAAAAGTGAATGACAATTGTCTGACATTGACAGTCAGTCTAGACCTAGAAGTAGATGGTGGTGGACTAACTGATCTTCTGTGGTTGTGCATTCATTGTATCACTGTTCCCTTGTTGTCTGTTGCTTGCAGTGTCTGTGGTTAATCTCACTCTTCCTGTGTTTCTAGGAACACCAAATTTGTTTGTTGCAGTTGCTAGTGACATTTTGTTTTCTACTTAATTTACTGCTGCAACTATATTTTCTGGCTTCTGTTGCTGAAGCTTGCCTTAGTAATAGTCCATTTATGGCATCTTTGTATACCTGAAAGTAAATTAAATACCATATAGTTGTAACCAAAAGAGAGACATCAGGGAGAATTCAGCATGTTGAGATCTCCCCAGTGTCGAAACCTCGAACCTACACAATCACCATACAGACTTCAGCATTGGTCACAACTGAAGCTTTTTTTAGTAGCCAATTGTATTGCCAACCCATGGTCTGATCATGACTATTGCCACTAATATTAGTATAAATTATTTTTTCTACTTATTTGTGGTTTATTTAATTACGTTGTTAATAGCTCACATTATATTGCATCGAAATATCAGTATGGTGACAGCTAAATCACCTGAAGAGAAAGTCAAGCCAGTTTTGAAATGTTGTGTATTGTAAATATACCCCAGACAGTGTGGTCAGTGACAAGCATAATTAATTACAGTGTGAAAAATCAACCATCATAAAATTTTTAGCAAGTCTCTCCATACAAAGGATTGGATAAGCACATGTGCTAGAGCAGTAACCTACAGAGAAACTTAAAAAAGTCCTTTGTCACTAAATTTACTGCAGAGTATCGACAATGAAGACCGAATAGTTCAGTACTTTGTAAGCTACTGCTAAGGAAACCATGAGAGACATTGAGACAGTTTACTGCAAGGATAGGATGTTTAATCTTGTTTGGTCTCTTGTAATTACTTTCACTCACTCCTCACATCTGGCCAGATTGTAAAGTTGATGGCTAGCGCTGAATTTAGTGTCTGCAGCATTGCCTCCATATGACCTACATGCCTCATGGTGTTGTATTTAGACACTAGGATACTGTTTCACTTTTATTTAATGTTCTCACTTAAGTGTTACTCAGATCACACACACTTTCATTCATTACATAATTTCAGACACCAAACAGTGTTCCATTGTCTGAATATGATGGGAGTACTTTCCACTTCTTTTCCTGTTTAAATCGCAGGCTTGTCATGAATTAAGATGTTCTCAGTTGAAAAATGCAGCATTGTATATATGAATGAGACTAAAATGATACGGAACAAAGAAAAGAACTTTTCTGGAATGAAACTGAGATACATGATGAACAAGTACAAACCCTTTCATTGCTAGTTTCTCATATGCAAACAATCTAATGCTTAATTCTTTGTGTTGCTAAAAAGAAACAGTTCGTCACTTGGATTAATGTGCTGCCATGCTACTCATGAAACCTTTCATACTATCATGGCATGGGAGAAATGTAACTTCCTAAATTCTTATTGGAGATTGCTTTCTATGGCAGCTTCTTGATGCTCAAATTGTAGCTTGGCTTTATGTTTATTTTCTGTACATATCCCTTTTATTTGTCATGTTTATTCTGTTGGCCAGCTTTGTTTCAGTCCAAAACTGTTCCTTTTCAAAAAAATTTTGTTAGTTGTAGAGTGTGCAGTGTTTTGTATCTGCAGTGGCATTTTAAGACCAGATAATAGGTATTTTGGATGTTTTATCAACAGGATGTTGCCAGATATTGTTTAAGAGTGTATTCACCATATCATGGAATAAGAAACATTTTTGTAATAACACCAAAGCTTTAGTAATATTTCTTGACAATACTGGCCATCAAATTTGGACTTCTACAAGCCTTTAGAAGCAAAGGGTTAAGTCCAAAAATGGTGGCATTTAGATGGACCAGAAAATTCTTGTTGTTTCACCACATATATTGAAGTAAATAATAATAAAAGTTTGTGTCTAGTGTCCTGCATATCTTAACTGTTTACAACATACAACAAATGTTTGCTTGCCTGTATATTGTATTGTGTATACTCACGCTGTATATGTTTTTGATAATACTATCAGTGTTTGTTTTATTTACACAATTGTTGAATCTGCAATAACAGGGGTCATTTTTTTTGCAGACATCTGTGATATTTTTAAGACAAAATGTAACTGATTATGAAGATATTATAAATAAATAATACAGTGAATTTAGGTATTTAAGTTTTAACATATGTGAAGAGTTGTCATTCTGTTTAACTGTTTGAATCATGTTTATGTTTGTAATGTGCAAGGCACTGCAATAAGACATTTAAATAGTATCCTGTGTGCTGCTTTCACCATACGTATATATGAGGGTTGCCCAGAAAGTAATTCCCCAGTTTTATTGTGGTTTCAAAAGTGAAACTTATACATTTAGCTGATTTATTGGGTACTTCTACAAAAAAATTTCTTATCACAATCAAATTCCCTTAAGTGAAAATATTAAATATTACAACACCAAAGGGTTTTTAAAATATTTTTTTGGCAGAAATACTAAAAGCAGCTTGTGTGGGTCCTTGCTTTCAGAACCACTGTCATAAATGTTGAAGCTGATTAATTAATGGCAGCAACACATCTGATTTGTATATAGGATTTTTTGAAATTAAGATTAAAATGATTTTAAGATCTACCATATGGAAATTGAAACTTTCAGAATTACCTTCTTGTTGTAATTTAATGGTGAAAAAGAAAACCAAGCATCTGTGCCATTGCTTGGGAACTTACCATCTTTCCGGGGCAGTCCAGGTGATACTTGTGGCGGATAAAATGGAATGAGCATTTTTATTTTATTTTCCCTGTCAGTGATCATTCCATCAATGCTACACATTCATCTTCACTTTTGAGGTAACTGAGGCTTGCCAAGTTAGCATGTTATTAAATTCTGTTTTTTACTTCTGATCCTGCATTTGGCCTGATTCAGAATAAAGGGATTTACGGTTCTCACGCGAGCAAGTATGAAGTTGTCTCTTCTGGTTTATGCCATGCAGTCTGATAGAAGGTTACTGATGTTTCAATGCCCTGATGGAGGTAACAAGCACCTCTGAAATGTTGGTAAACTTAGAAGACATCCATCTTCATATATGCTGCCATGAGAACCTCAAATCCTACTACCTTAACCAAGATTTTGGAAGTATAATTTCCTCCACCAAATGAAGTGGTTATACGTTAGTGATTTGATCTTGATAAGTAGTGGATTTTCCTTTCAGACCTAATGCAAATGTTATACAACAGTGGGAATGACATCTTCAAACCTGATTTAATAATTATACCACCACTACTAGGCAGCAGTCTTTTTCTAATGAAATGTAATATGGGAAATGTCACACTAAGCCACTACTGATTTGTACAAGAATAGAAGCTGCAAGACAATGCAAGTCTGTAAAGATGAAAATCATACAAGGCAAGATCAAAATGCAGTGTACTAATCAATATACATGTGTTTTGGACTATATGAAAAATGGTGTTTAATGAGGCCATGTCCTTCAGCATTACAGCTCCAAAACTATTCAACAGATTTTGATAAATACTGAATATCTAGTAGTTGCCAAGTCAATTTCATATTTGTCTCCTACAGTTCATTACATGAAAAAAACATTTTCCAAAATGGCTTACTATAATACATGACGTACTTGAGAACTTATCAGTATCTGTGAACTGAGTTTCTGTTCCAGCTGTACCTTACTAGTAACAAGGATTTGATACGTGTATTAAAAATTATTAGTTTATTTTAATTTTTATTTTGGTTTTGTATGCTGTCTGGTTACATTTTTATATTAATTATATACAATTATCAATTTTTAATCAAGTTTTTTGGATCACTGATTCTGATGGAGCATTATTTATAAGCATGGTTAGTTTTGACAGACTTTTGTACCCTTGGCCTTGGAGCAGGCTGCATGGCAGATGATAGCCAGACTTGTGGGCTTGTGAACTGTAGAGCTCCCTGCTCATCTTCATCTGGAGTACAGACAAAATATCTTATTCTTTAATTAAGAAATGGTAATTGTTGAGGACTTCTGGGAATTAATTTATTTGAACGCTTCAGCATACAGACTGTATGGTGATGTTTGCAAGTCTGTATATTATTCTGTATGTAGAAATTAGTTTAACCTTTCGGAGCTGAAACTGTTGAAGGATCTAAACATTTAGTTCTTACCTCAAAGAAAACATGTCTCCATTACAAAGATAAATTTGTTAATGCTATTTAAGGAAGTAGTTGTTGTGTAGTCTGAGAATCGTATGAAACCGATAAATACACTGTGTGGGAAAAATGAAGCTGGTGGTACTTTTAGTGACCATTAGGTTTTAAATAGTTAACCTTAGCTGTGTGTATTTGTAGGATATAAACTGGGTATAGAGCAATGTGATGTGTTGATAACATCCAAGGTTGGTGTAATTCTTGTAAATGCATTGGTGGATATGGACAGGATTGTTGGATTAGGAAATCAGGGTTCAGACTGGATACCACATCCATGTCCTAACAAATAAGATCTTTCCTGGAACAAGCCGAGACTTTGGTACAGGCACAAGCCCTAGTCCCAAAAATCATTCTACAGGTCTTCATGATCTTACAGGAGTGGAATTGGTGGCTGTGGAGTCTCACTGCAAGTCTCAAGGGAACAAAGGAAGCAATGCAGATTAAGTTAGAGATCAGTCAGTGTAGACAATACTGTAGGGCCTAATGGAGCAGGTAAGACATACAGGAACCCAGTGAAGTGCTGGAAAATTTCTTGTAGCACAGGTAGTGCTAGAAGTGGTGCCAACATTCACAATATTAGTTTAAAATATGTTACAGTAGGACCCATTTAATGCAACAGAAGAAACTCATGCCTGAATGCAGTATTTTATTCCTGATGTTGATCAGCCTTATTAATAACTGAATTTAAGACTATGCAGTCTTGTAATTATTGCTGATGAGCACTAATCGTAACAGATTTGTATCTGTAATAAATTAACAATGAAGGACGTAAAATCTCAAACAATTTGATGTACACCTTGGCACGTGTTCAATTCTCTGGGAACATATACATGGTTTTAGCTTAACATTTCAACTTATTTTGCACATTCTGCCAAAAGACAAACAGCACGGAATTGATCAAGTTCTTGCAATAAGTTACGTACATCACCAGCACACATAACTTCGTTTTCCAGTTGTGGAAGAGGAACTTTGTGACCATAAAAGAATATAATAGGCTTACATGTCCCTTCAAATACAACACCCCTGTCAGTTTCAAATCCAGTTTCTGTGCTAAATGTTACGTGAACAAAGGCAATATATCTGTCATGAGGTTGCTTATGAACAGCCCATAAAGATGTTGGCAGTGGAATCGTGTAAGCATGTTCCAAGAGTTCATTATACGTGAAGTGTGACACTTGCAACTTTGCTTCTGAAGTACTGTGTTTTGCTTCAAGTATGCTGTTATCTGTTGACTTGAGAGTTTCATCAGCCACAGTAATGGAAAATTCAGACTCATTCCCATCTAATAATGTTCTCAAAATCTTTGCAGTTAACTGATTAGTGGATTCAGTTTCTCCTCCATCTAGAAACTTGTACAGTTCAGTTCTACTCTGAACAGAAGTGTTGATCACCTCACATAATGGTGTGGATAATTTTGAGGCCTGTAATTTTAAATTATCTGTTTCTTCGAAATTACAGTTCTGCTCAGAGACCTCTTTAATTCTGGTGGCTGTGCTATTATTTTTATGATTTATAGTTTTCATGGCTCTTTTACTAATAGGAGTGAATGTTTCAACATGTGGAGATATTTTACACTTCTTTTCAACCGAAGGTGTACCCATTTCAGAATTATGATGTCGAGTAAGTGCTCTGCTTCTCCTCATAGCCTGTTTCAAGAGAGACAAACAATAGTATGGTAACATTTGTTTCTTTTATTGGTAATTTCATTACACTGAGCTAAGATTATATAGCATGAAGTAATTATCAATGAATATAATATTAAGTGTTCATAACCTCCTTTTAGGCTGGAAGAGGCTGATAAAAACTGCATACTCAACACAAATATAGGCAAATTTTGCATATAGTCAGATGTATTTCTTACATTTCTCCAGGATATCAAAATTGGTAATAGCATACTCTGTTTTAATTTACTTTACGTTAGATTTGTGTTGGTTCTAGATACAAAATTCTGTGATATGTTTGATGGTAAATATAATGTAGGAGGATACTAACATGGTTCAAATACATAGTTATTGTATTGTAAATAGTTACTTTTAATTTCTGAGGTTATACGGCATTGAATGTGAAAAGGCTGGCTGATGAAGTTGGAGGTATAGGGAATGAGCTGACCACAGCCTAATTCAACTAACTATACCAGTATTTGAAGATGGCTGTCTTCTGGACACTATGGTAGATACTGAATGATATTTCAGAGGAGCTTATTGCTTCCATCAGGTTGTCCAACTACATCTAACCTAACTTTGTTGCGCATGGATAATTCAGTGCCCTGATGGAGGCAGTAAGCACCTCTGCAATGTCAGTCAATAACTATCAGGATATATGGTTTAATATCCCAGAAGACAACCATCTTCATATGCGTATAAAAACTTGAAATCTCACCTATCCTGTCATTTACTTGAAAGAACTAAGTAAAATCACATCGGGTATTAATAAAAGCAATTAAGTCCCTGTCAGGATTTGATTTAGGTCCTTCTAAATTAAATCACACATGATTCTGTCAGTTTTCCTCAAATCTGCAAATCAAATGGGATGTTGAGCAAATGAGAGAAAACAGCTATCTTACAAACATAAAGATAATACTTACCCTTATTCCCTTTAAATTATCATTGCAGAAAATAGATGGCACAGCACCCTTCTTCAGCTTTGGGTTTCCTCTTTCTATCTGAACCACTTGGCCGTCAATTACATGGGTGTAATACCGTTCTATATCTGTTTCCTTGAAGTGCAGTGAACATACTACATCTTCACTGTGGAGATTCCTGTCAGTTCTCTGTATAATTGAATTCCATAACTGTACCATATGCTATAAAGAAATATAATTCACATTACAAGTGTTCTTACTGTAACCATCAAGTTTCTAGTTGTTTGAAAGATGCGTCTGCAGACCTGGGGTTTCACTGGGTCACTGCAATATTATTATTTTGGAACATGGTAATAATAAAAGCAATATGGCACTCACTTACTTGGCCGTTCAGTTAAAATACAGGCAACTGTACAGGTCCCACATCATGCCAAATTCCTGAATGGTATCTGATATAATACTACTTCCTGTATCTTTAGTTTAGTTAGGATATATCAACTCAACTTACAGATTTTTACTACACTCTTTAGCACAGGCCAGATTTTGTGCCATCCTGGCACTTTTCGTATGTGGTTTATTTAACAATGCTCTTAGTAGGTGAAACTTTATGGTGTTAAATTATAAGATTAATTAAGGGAAAGAATATGGAAGTGGTCCTGGCCTGTTTTAAGTCGCTATCCTGGCATTTGCCTGGAGGGTCTGATTAAAACCAAGAAAACCCTGTTAGGAAAGCTGGTATCCAGCTCAATCTCTGACCCTGAAACCTGCCGAATATGAAGCAGGATTTACTGAGCAGGTCCGCAGTTTAATACAGGGCAAACTACCAGCCAAAGGAGCATGATACAGCAGATTTCATTGTGTTTGAGTGTTTTATTTCAAATAAGGTAACATTAAAGATGTTCTTCCTTTCTTAATGACAGGTTAGGATTTGTAGTTCTGCACAAGTGTCATCATAGTGTTATCCCATACATTCGGCCATTACCTAAATGACCACAGTGAAAGTGTACGTCTAAACATTGCCAATTACTTTACATTAAACAGAACAGTTGAAAATTATAATTAAAACAGTAACTATTAATACAGCTAGTGTGCTATGACTAGGAGTACACCGATTTACATTTTCCGTGCAATTCGTACCTTGGGTGGTCGAAAAAGTGAAGGATTGTCTTTTCCATCTTGCCTTGCCCTTCTAACCTTAGCTGGATACCCACTTTTGCAGCCTGGTACGAAACAACTATGAGAAGGCATGTCAACTTAACATGTGTATAGTAGAAGTGATGAATGAAAATATTGTTTTCAAACAAGTCCCACGTATTCACGATCATATGTCATAAGAACGGATGTTATTTAGAACAGGCAATCCGTACAGATGGTAAGCTATTGTAAAATCGACCACAGATGATATTGATACAGACAGTGGGCACTTGGTTATTACGCTTGCAGGGGCAATTTTTTAATAAAAACACATTACAGACTAATTACTTAAACATTTATTGCATGTACAATTTTATAACGTTATGATTGTTACGTTTTATTGAAAAGTTAGATATTCTTATTCACAATCATTTCTTCTGTATTTTTTGCCACAGAGGAAAAAAGTGATTGTGTAATTTCAGAATACCTTTCTGTCTAATTTCAAGTTGTAAGCAGTAATCACAGTAAAATGAAACCTATCATATATCCACTGGTATGATTAAGTGAACGAAGCGACTAGGTTGAAGGAACTATTCACCAATAAGGATGCCCATAGTGAATATATCCGAACCTAACACCCAATCCATTTACTTTTGAACTGTCAATTAGAATACGTGACCTGGTGTTAATATTTTGAATTTTTTTTGACTGTTTAAGGAAAAGACGCACTTGGTCAGTAAATAAATATGTAAAATATATTTTGTTTTCACGTAAATTTTATATATTTTCTATGGATTTGAAAGAGCTGCTAAAGAAATGTGCGGCCAAAAGGCCAGGTATGAATGTGTTTGATTGTAGTGAATATTTATATGTTTAGAAATAAACGAACATTTATGTAAATTAGTTTGTTTAATTTCAGACATTTCACCCCAGGATGCTCTTAATACGGAGTCAGAACTGTTCAGCAAATATTATTTGGAAAGAAAGAAGAAGGAAGAGCAGGCAGATATAACATACAGTGCTATTCCACAGTTCTATTTTAAGGTTTGGCATGATTCATTGTCAGCATAACTCATTCTTCTCTTTGTGTTATTAGCCAGTAAGCTTGCTTCAAGTGCTGACAAAAGCATATATAATGAAATATTTTACTGGTCATAAGCTAATAACTACTAAGCATGAAGATGGCTGTCTTCTGGGTTGTTGCGCCATGTAGTCTGGTAGAAGATGAAACTAAATTTTATATAAGTAGCATTTGAAGTTCTCATGGCAGTGAGTCTGAAGGTGGCTGCCTTCTGAGTTGTAGCACCATGTAGTCTGGTAGAAGTTCACTATTATTTCATGTTTTGTGCTGCCTCCATCATCAGGGTGATGAGCCCTGATGATGGAGGGCCATTTTCTTAAGTTCTGTTTGTATAAGAATTAAATAGTATGAGTTTGTTTTGTGTGATTTAGACATACATATACACCCACACATTTGCTCACAGAAAATGAACCTGGAACATTAAGTTGTTTATCATAAATTATTGTGAATAATGAGAGCAGTGCTGAAGATCTGTGTTCTCTTGGTAGGTGTACTTGCCTGACTTCTGGTATTTTAATTTTGTATAATTTATCATGACAATTAATTGAAGTAGACTGCTAAACTAATAATTAATCAAGGAAAGGATTTTGAATCTGTATTTCAGATTATTAACATATAATGTCAATCAAATATCATAATTTTTCACTGACATATTGTTTTGGTCTTTGTGACACTGAACAAGGAGTTTTACTTAGAAGTTGTTGGGTTTCACTGGAGAAACACATTATGAAGTTACACAATGACAGTGACTTTAAATACTTCGCAATGTTGAAAACTTTATGATGCCACATTTCATCCTTTATTATTTTTATCATTATGTTTTGTTTGATATTTAGATTGATAGTAGAGAAAAATATCCACACAACCCTTGACAGTTATTTATGGAACCCCATAATTCTGTTGAACTCAGTTTGGGAATAACAATCTTACATGTTTAAAATGTATTTTAATTTGTTTATTGCAGCTTCCAAAAGATGATGAAATTCTGTCACAGAAACTACGTGAAGAAGCGCGTGCTACCTTTCTTCAGCGCCGTGGACGGCAGTTGTTGAACAACAATGAGTTGAAGGTGTGTGTGCAAATACAGTGTATTACCCTTTATACTCAGTGCAAGGATTTAATATTGTGTCATTCCATGTAAGTTTTGGGACAAAAATGTCATGACCATATCTGATTCTGTTACAGTGTGGCAACATTATTGGGCCTAACAACTAAATGATAAATGTTAAATTTTACCGCTCTGTATGTGTCAACCCCTTGAAACCAATGCTTAAATTTAAGAATTCAGTCTGCAACAAGAGCACAACACTTCACCATCATGAACATCAACTTGTTAATGCTGTTTAAGGATATAATCGCTGTTTAAAATTAAAATTTATATGAAACCCATAAGAACAAAATGGAGAGTTATTAATTGTTAAAGCAGATGAGACATATAGTTACCATAGGGATATTATAGGTTAATTTCTTAGATTTAGCATTTCAGAATTTCAAGTATTTCTGTTTTTCCTCATTCTGAATCACTATGGAACGTTCATAACTGGAAGCCCTAATAAACACATTCTGGTAGTAATTTATAGCTTTTAAATGTGGTGGTTTAGGTTGTCATGAATTTAGTAAAACATATATCACTTGATTCACTTTTTCCCTAAACATGTTATGATTTTTAAGTACCTTTCTGGAAAATTTGATCATGAATCAGAAGTGTAGGCACACAAATATTTCTACAATTTAAATCTCTTAAGTTAAAATCTAGCTGCCATTCCCACAGTAGTAATTTAAATTCCCTTCTCCCATATGATAAAAGCTTTATTTTTTTTTTAAAAAAATGAAATTTCAAAATTGATCCAACAAGTTACCAAATAGGCTATAATTGGAAATGAAGGATGCATATTAACAGCTGAGTTGAGTTAACATGGTTAAACCCTATAATTTATTGTATATAACATGGGGATTGGAATTCATATTTTACATCTACTTTAAATTTATAAGGTAATAAAAAGCTAAGTAATCTTGTATTTGACAAAGGAAATTTTCCATGTATAAAAAATTTGTGTCACACTTTTCTTGTTTGCCCAAATTCTGTATTTGTTGAAGATATTGATGATTTCTATTATCACATGCGATAGGTTTTGTTTATTTCTTTCTCCAGGCCTTGTGGGTCCTTCTTGATAAACATCACAGCCAGCCACACTCTGAAGAAGAGCAACTTATTAATTATGAAGATTTTCTGCATGTGGCAACTCTAGGTGGCCCAAAATGCAAGTAGGTGTTTTAGTTTCAGAATTGTTTACTGTTAGAGTATAATTGCAGCTCACTTGATGAAATTAATAATTAAATTATGAAAGAAATAACATCAAGATTATCATTATTGTTCATCATCATATTCAGGGGCTGGGCCTTTTGGTCCGTTCCAAGCACAGGATTAATTGAACTGGTCCCTCCGTCTCTTCAGTGGTCGACCTCTTTCTCTTCTTCCTTTTGAAAGATAATGAAACAGCTGACTATTGGTATTCTTAAAATGTGTTCATAGTAGTTTTGTTGATATTCATTATTGTTATTGCTGTTATTTGCTTTGTTCTTGGTGGACTAGTGGTTAGTGTGCTTGCCACTGGACCCAAGGTTCATGGGTTCAAACCTGGCCAAGGTTGATGGATTTTTTTTTATTATTATCAGTGTTCTGTCTGAGGACAGGTCCATATGAACAGGATCCTTCCATCATTTTCTCTTCTCGGACTGGGACCTGTTCATATTTGTTCTTGGCAGATGATCCAGAAGTGGTTTGCCATTGCCTTCTTCTGTGTGTGAATGGAGTAATTGTTGGGATGCCACGGAGGAAAACTCCGTGTTGCCTAGACCACGGCCTTGCCCAACACAAGTTATAAATTTGAGCACCACCGGGAATTGAACCCGGAACCCCAGGCTTACAAGGCTAGTGTTCTGACCGCTAGACCACCGTGGCGGATGGATTTTTAAGTATGATAAAAATGCATAGCACAACTTCCTTTGGAGGGGAAGTAAAGCTGGCGGTCCCATGTCGCAGATTTACGGCACGTAAAAGAATCTTACGAGTATGAACGAGTTGTTTCGTAAGCAAAATTCAGCAGCCATTTCTCACCCATGTCTTTCCTGATTCTCTACCAGATGGCTCTAGCAGACAAATCAGGATTAAGTAGAAATTGGTAGAGGCCATGCAACTGGCTGATCACTCGTCCAAGGAGTCTTACCAAATGTTTAAATAGATCAAGAAACCTCTAAAAGAGGCAGCCAAGACCCACACTGGGTTGTTGAGCCACAGGAAGAAGAGGAACGTTTTTCTTTTGTATGTTAGTTACCAACTTTATAATGGCGTGAACAGTTGTGGTTGTGAGTCCTATGAGATATTGAGAGTCATGACTGCTTTGGCAACCATAAATAATTAAAAAGCTTGGTGTGGGACTGAGAAAGTGCCCCTACCTGCCTCTAAATATATTTTATCAGCAATAATGGATTGGACTTAATGCAAAATTCCCTGGAGGAGGGTGGCTATTGTGGTAGGTTTTTTGGTATCCTCTCAGGTTTGTTACATAAATGCTGGGAAGAACCTTAAAATAGGCTGAAACTGCTTGCTTACACATTTCTTTTGATTCATCTAATGTTATGTACATTTTGCAGTTGGTACAGTGTTGTATAATAACAATTAAAAAGTAGTCCTTTCTTACTGTTGGTTACTAAGAAACTTGCACAATTACTGCATTGTAACTGTTTTATTTTATTTTATTGTTTTTCAGAAATTACTTCACTGCAGCTGTATTTGCAAAACTTCAACATGGAGATCCATATGGACGTATCAGCATCATGGCTCTTTTCAATTACATCATGAGGAAAGTTTGGTACCATCAGACTCGTATTGGACTCTCATTGTATGATTTTGTTGGTCAAGGCTACCTTCGTGAAGTAGTGAGTCACATACACTGTAATGCTTATTCATTTAGTTGGAAAGACATGGGTATCAGCTGGCGTGGCTTTGTTTCTGATGTAGGTGGAAAAGTTTTTTACTGAAACCAGAATTAAGATTTCTATTGAGTCAATGTGATTTGTGTTTTTTACAATTTTCTAGGACCTTGAAAACTATATCTTGGAGCTAATCCCCACATTGCCACAACTTGATGGACTAGAGAAGTCATTCCACAGTTTCTATGTATGTACAGCTGTGCGTAAGTTCCTGTTCTTCCTAGATCCACTTCGCACAGGTCGTGTGCGCATTCAGGATATTCTGGCATGTAGTTTCCTAGATGATCTACTTGAGGTGTGTAAAACTTTGAAATTTTATAATTTGTGTAAATGGGTGTGAATTAGGTCACTTAACAGATAAACTGTAATAATTAGCTCTTATGAGCCCCAAATGCAGATGTTTTGAATTTGGCCGAGACATCAATATATGTAGTACATAATATAATGCTGTTTCAGAATTACATATTAATTACTCGTATTTTTTTTAAACAACACATGCAACCCAGTTCACCTGATGTGGGACAGAGTCAGGTTTGGGCAAATAGGGTCACTGAAATTTACAGCATATACATTCATCATAATTCTTAGGGAAAATTACTTCGTATGTTTACTTATAATATGCATACATAAGAGAATATAACAAATTTGTTTTTAGAATTTAGTAAGAAAATAAGAACACCGTATAGATGTGTATTTTCCATATTCAAAGAACTTCTGACCTCAAGCCCCAATACAGGCTTCATACCTCTTTAAAACCTTTCCTTGGCTTTAAATGTAATTACCAAATGTTCAAATTTTTCATTAGAATGTTTGTCAAAACAGAAGCCACAATTTTCGTCATTATCGACTTCATAATCACACATTTTTTTGGATTTGTCTCTTTCATTGCCTTCTTCAGAGGTTTTTGTTTTGCTGCTATGTGATACCGTTAGTATGCAAGTGGTTAAAGAATTTTACTATACACTGAATTATGTAATGTTTTTGTTACGTAGTTGCGTGATGTGGAGCTTCCTAAGGACCTCCAGGACACAAATTGGTTCTCTGCTCCATCTGCATTGAGAGTGTATGGACAATACCTGAACCTCGACAAGGACCATAATGGCATGCTTAACAAGGAGGAGTTGGCCGGGTGAGGCTTAAGCTTTCGATTACTAGACAATGTGGAGAGAGAAAATTTACGTTAACGACACACATGATAGATTGAAGTTTGTGTTCATGCCAGACCAATATTCTTCGGACATCACAGTGCCACTGCTAATAGGTAGATATTTTGTAGGTAAGCTTCCACCGTCCAAGAAGAAGACACTACAGAGATGGTATACTGTTTGTCAGAAGCTCGACAAGAGGACAGGCACTACTCTGGATGGCATGCGTCAGAGTGTACTGCATTGAGCTCATTTTCTAAGATGATATTGCCAATAAAAAATTATTCTTTTGTAAATTTATAACTTTGCTGAGCCATAACTAATTTTAAAGCAGTTTGTTAGTGGTACCTCAGTGATCCCAAGAGCTATGCTGACGGTTCCAAAGCTCAGACTAAGACAGGTACCCTGGTCCTCCAGGTTGGGGGTTGGTCGCAAGGCTAACAACCTTGCACCGTAAAAAGGAAGATGTTTTGAAACTTCAACCTCGGACAGACAGACCGAATGGAAGAGGAGAATTGAGGAGGCCATAGAAGAAGAAATTTTTAACTTTGCTGAGCCAAAACTAAAAATAAAGCAGTTTGTTAGTGGTATTCCTATTTTGTGTACTTCTCAGAATTTAGTATGCAAATTAGAAAACAAATTATTTCTTCCATATTTATTGTAGCTGAAATGGAATTTTGCAATTTCAGGCTTTAGTACTTAAATATCCTTTATCCTGAGGAGTTAGTAGGGTGTAAGTGTCCCTAGCATGGAAGGCTTAAACATAGAATTATTAATAGAAATTATGGACAGACATAAATATCTGAATTTTGTACATGTTAATTTATGGTTTTTTCAAAATTGTGACACATAAAGTATCTGAAAGAAAGTAGGCATCTTAAGTTAGAGTAATATTTTGGTTCTGCTCTCTTTTTCCACTTTACCTGTACGAGGGGCAGTCAAAAAGTTCCCGGAATTGTAGTATAGCACTGTAATGGTAGGAAATATGGCAACACTTACCTAATCACCTTCAAAGTAGGACCCTTGCGCACACACACACTTGCTCCATCGATCCTGCCATTGTTGAAAGCACCGGTGGAAGGCTTCATTTGGAATCTTCCGGAGTTCGGCCGTCGCATGGTTGCGAAACGTGTCCCCTTGAGGCCCATCTTCAGAGTAGGGAACAGCCAGAAGTCACTCAGAGCGAGTTCCGGAGAGTATGGTGGTTGGGTGATGACGGAAATGCTTTCCTCAGCGAGGAATTGCTGCACAACCAGTGATGTGTCGAATGCGACAGCCGAACTCCGGAAGATTCCAAACGAAGCCTTCCGCCGGTGCTTCCAACAATGGCAGGATCGAAGGAGCAAGTGTGTGCGTGCGCAAGGGTCCTACTTTGAAGGTGATTAGGTAAGCATTGCCATATGTCCTACCATTATAGTGCTATACCACAATTCCGGGTACTTTCTGACTGCCCCTCGTATAACAGTAACTGTACTGAAGATATACCTAGAGATGTCGCATCAATTAAAATTATTAAATCATAGCCACCTAAATGAAGCATCGACAGAAGCAAATCTTTATCCCTTGAACCCAAGAAACTCCAAAACTCAGTCAGATGCAAAACATTTCATGACAGTGTTCCCTTTTCACGTATGAGACATTCATTTATAGATGAGTGAAGAGAAATCCTATGCTTGGAGATGTATTTAAAGAAAGAACAACCCGGTTTCTGGTAGTTAAGATTATTACCGTGATCAGTAACAATTATAATTTTCAGCTGCCCCTAGAGCCTCCATTATTATTATGCTGAGGATACTTTCAGTACTTCAGAAATTCAGCTGCAAAGTCTCAAACAAAGAAAAATT